AAACTATATATATATATTATCGAAACACGTTGCCCAATTCTTGAGAGATGTACTCTGGATGCAGCACCATGATGGCACGAAACCAAGAGTGCTCTCGAAGAGATGCACCATGATGCACTCCAGTAAACCAGTGCCAGGGTCGGCAGCTGACACATGGAACCAATAAAAGCATCGTGCAATAAGCATATATGGCATACATGGAGCGTCTGAGATATATATGAAATACTTGCAGATATTGTGTTCATATCGAAAACATATCAAAAACAGCACTGTTATAGTTTTCACAGCGTCATCACGTGTTCAATCAGCTTCCAACTTCTCGTTGTGCCCGCCGTCCGCGTCCCACGAGGGCCTCTCGATACCAGTAGAGCGCTGCCCGGACCTCGGCGACCGGTCTTTGGCGACGAGCGAACTCGGTCACCAGAGGGGTCAACACGCTATGCTTTGGGTCCTTGGAACCTGTAACCTGCATAATCCTGCATCTTTGTTTGGGGGGGAAATGCAGCTTAGTCAAGCTAGATGCAACAAGCATGAATCTCTGTTCAGAAACTGAATTCAGAAAGAATGACAAGGCATTCATAGATGCGTTTGAACACTGCACGTTCAGCCATTAAAATTATCTGTGTGCATGAGTTTCTTTTGTATGTGCTTGGCATGTTCCAACGAAATCGCTCATATTAGATGCTCCTGGTCCTTTCACTCACAGGGAATTTGCTTGGTCATACCAAACCAAATCAGTTCCTTCCGAAATTCCTTCCACACCCAACGCCCCGCGCGCGGATATGAGTGATTTTGGCAGTCGAGGCACATCATTTTTGGCCTCGTACGCACAGCCCAAGTTGCCTTGCTGATTGGGGTAGCGCGCTTGGAATTGCCCCCATGCTGCAGCACAAAAAAGGAGATCAAACACGTAGTTTCGTAGATCTTTCTTCCCAATCTTTTCATGCTTTGTGGGTATATTTATCTAGCAGTCTTATACATATTTCTTTCGATTAAGGCAATGGCCTACGAATCTTGTTCAACACAATGACAATGTGTTCTCTTATTTCTCTTATCTGTCACAACAATGGGTCTGCAGGTCCGCTTCTGAGGTGTTGCCGTTTCCTGGCATGCAGTGGTGTGGGGGGTTCCTCACACTGTCCTTGTTTTTTCAGAAGACACAGGTCACCAGCCCCACAAGACATCATCACCCAACGCACTGTTGGGGGATCCTTCGGCACATGTGGCTACCAACTTCTCAGTTTGGATCCGAAAACCGAAGTGATCCAGCAGCTCTCCGTTTCGTGACGAAACACCAAGGGATTTCAGGGTTTCGCCACCTTTTCAGGGTCTCAGCCACGTTCATAATGTAGTCTGGATTCTATTTCAAGCCTGAAGAGGTTTTACAATCCATGTCTGGGGGGGCGTTCTATTTTCATAGATATAATGTACAATTGTAGTATATATATATACTGTACAATTATCTGTTTTCTTCATCGAGTCTACATTACTGAGCAGTCTACACCTGGGTGTCCCCGGCCACAAGCAATATGGCTGAAGGGTGCCAGCTGACGTGCATCGTGCAGCTCCCGGATGGACCTGCGTTGTGCAGCGGTCATGAACGTGCGTCGGGAGCTGCAAGAAACAACCAAATGGCTTTGGCACCGATGAATGGAGTCCACGGATTCCATTGGTTGAACAAACGCTTGGCTGTGCTTGCTTGGTTGGCCACATGAAACGGATAATGATGTGTGTGTGTGATGGTGTGTGTCGACATGTCTGTTGCATCTTTGCGACTCTCTTTGCATGTTTGCACCGGAATGCGTCAGCATTCGGATTTCCCATGCAAAAGGGATTGGACACTTGGTGTTTGGCACGCAGCAAGTAGGTTTCTTCCAATCATTGTCCGCTAAATACATTGTAAGTAATCAACTTGGGCTATTGTGCTGGAAAGCAAAAGAAGACAAACAGGAAGATTCCTGACAAACAAACACCCTTGCCCCAAACGCTAACCTTTGATGAAACTTTGGCATACCAGCCAAATCATCAAAGCCACTGAAATGAAGATATGTACAAACTTAAACATTAAAAAACATCAAACTGCATGTCTTAGCTACATCTCCTGCATGAATCTGCATGAACCGAGTTTCTTCGAGGCATTCTGTCAATGCCGCTAGATTCTAGATCTGACCTGTTCCATGTTTGAGTAGAGGCTCTGCCTGTTCGAGCAAACAACAAAGTATCATCATATATCATCATATTGTTTTTGTTATTATTCTTATTCTTTATCTTCTTTGTCTTCGTCTTCTTCTCCTTCTTCATTTTCATCATCATCATCAATGGTTGAATTGTTGGATTCTGGATGAAGTATGAGGCAAACACATCGCTCACACTGACACACGCGCACTAGGCTGTGGAGCGATCCCAGAAAAGGCCACATGCCGTGAGCAAACAATTTGGAACTCACACTGGGACTTTGGCTACAATCTAAAACTACCATTGTGCTGACTAGATCGGTTCTCACAAAGCTGTTTCTCACATTCTTCTTTCTCCAAGGCCCCGAACTCCTCGATGCGTCCCTCGTGCAAAAGCCGCGCGCCCAGCTTGGTGGCGCGGACGGCCTGAAAACCAGCTTGCACGGACCATGCGCGAGTTCACGCTCAAATCCATGAACTGTCTATGTCAGTTTTAAACACATAAACATAATACCATCCAAAGAGGCCGAAGTTCTAGATCCCGCAAAGGTCGGAATCTGAAGGCTGTGTTGTTGTTTTTTTTCTTTCAAAAAATGATCTAAGTATAACATATGTTGAATATAGCCTGAGTAGAGTTGTTTGAGGGATCTTCATTTCACCATCTGCTCGTCAGATCTGGGCATCTCCACCCCCAAAAAATGAAATCTGGCTGGCATGTCCAAGATGGGCCGATCATGGGAGCTCTGATAGTGCACATCTAGGTGGCTGATACTGGTCATAGGGATGGACGAAATATCAAATGTACATACATATACTCACAGGGGACACGTTTCTGAGTCCTTGAGACACCCCGCGTTTCCGTGAGAGATGACTAGACACCCCGCGATGAACACCCCGCCATTCCCAGCGATTCACTTCGCTGGTCATGACACCTTCGCCACGCGCGCCGCGCCTCGTGGGTGAAGGATCAAAAAAACTAAATAAGGATCAAAAACATAATAAAGCAATGAGATCAAGAGAAAAACTAATAGAGATCAACAAAAAAATCTGGTGACGTAGTAACAAAACAATTGACAAACGAGGATCAAAAACAAAACAAATAAGAATCAACAAAGAAAGAACAGTAATGTGTGCAGTGGCAACAGTAGTAGTGACCGTCGTCGTCGTTGTCGTCGTTGCCGTCGTCGTCGTAGTCGTAGTCGTAGTAGTAGTAGTAGTGGTAGTAGTGGTAGTAGTGGTAGTAGTGGTAGTAGTGGT